GAAACTTCATTTGTGCATAGTTATTTCAATTGCGTTTATAACTTATGAAATAATAAATTATGTAACGTAGAAGTAAAATCCAATAAAATTAACAACAAATGTTATTCAATTTGGTTTATTGTTGTTCTATTAAGGAAATTAACGTAAATTTCATGAAGATCTGAAAAAACTGAATTCGCTTTCAATTAAACTTTACTCAATAATGTTTGATCATGCAGTGAAATAAATGAAAACTTCATTTGTGCATAGTTGTTCCAATTGTGTTTGTAACTTATGAAATAATGAATTATGTAACGTAGAAGTAAAAACTATTGAATGAAAATCCAAATAAATTATCAACAAATGTTATTCAATCTGGTTTATTGTTGTTCAATTAATGAAATTAACGTAAATAAAGTTCTGAAAAAACTGAATTCCGTTTCAATTCAAGATTACTCATTACTTTTTGATCATGCAGTGAAATGAATGGAAACTTCATTTGTGCAAAGTTATTCCAATTATTTTTATAAGTTATGAAATAATAAATTATGTAACGTAGAAGTAAAATCCAATAAAATTAACAACAAATATTATTCAATCTGGTTTATTGTTATTCCATTGAAAACAACGTAAATACTTCAAGTTTTTTTTTCATGAAAACTGAATTCGCTTTTAATTAAACATTACTCAATAATGTTTACTGAAGCAGTGAACTGAATAGAAAAAAAAACACGTTTAATTTAATTATAATTTAATTGAAAATGTATTCTAGCAGTTTTATTACAATTGTGTAAATTATCTGAAATAATTAATTATATAATGTGGAATTAAAAAAGTATTGAATTGAATTAACAACAATTGTTGCGTTTACGTAATTCAATCTGTATTTGTAATATAATTCATTTAATCTGTATTTTATAATTACGAATAATGTAATTATTTTATTCTTGGATTTGTTTTTGCATGTGAAATCTACAACATTTAAACAATACGTAAATTATTGATTTTCTTTCGACGTAATTTTAATTAAATGTATTATTGAAGCGAGAAAATGTGAAATTAATTAAGGTCAATAATAATTTTATTTATTTCATAAACGAATTTCCATAATTAACTACAATTTTTTTGTTATAAGTTTTCATTTAATGATTATTAATACTATAAATCGGAATTAAATTGAATTGATTTCAATTTGTAAAAGTAATTTCTTTTAAGTTTTAAAATAAAAAAATTGAAATTATATAAAAATGTTGTAAATTATTCTATCAATAAATTTGTTGTAAAACGAAATTTAAGTTAACAAAAAAAACTAAAATTGAATCCAATAAGATCACATAATTCCATTATTTTCTATTAAAAAAATATTTAAATTTGAATATTTGAACAAAATATTGAAATTCTTTAATAATTTTTATATGTTATGAATTTCTTACTATTTTATTAAACTGTATTTTTTGAAAACGAGCTCTAATTTAAGTTAAAAGTAGTAGGAAACTGAATAATCTACTAAAACTAATTCCATTATTTATGATATAATAAAAAAAACGTTGAAATTGAAAACGAAATTTGCAAATTCTTCAATAATATGTTAAAGATGTAAAAATTTGAATAAAATTGAAGATTTTTTTGCTAATACAACTTTCGTTAACAATATGATTTCAGTGAAAAATGATTGTTGTATTTCGGTTTTTGAAGATGAATTTATACCATAATTTAATCATTCCTGAAGATATTTCTTGCATATGGAATTTTAATGAAAAGCAATCTTTAAATATTAACATTTTACTTTAGATTTTGTTATTTTTTGTTTAATTAAATAATGTAACTTTGTCCACTTAATTGATATTAAAATTGGACAAATTATTGATTAATTTGAAATGAATTTTATTGAATTTAACAACATTTTTGTACTTAGAAAAAAAAAGTGGATATAAAATTATCGAATAGTCCGGTTTCATCTAATTTGGTATATTTCCGTTACCCGCACTATGCGAGGTATTCCTGTATCGTATCTAATAGTAGTAAATAAATCAAATGCATGTATGTATGTACAAATTTACTAGATTATAAAGGGTGTCCCAAAATTAACGCATGGTTTGAATTTGCTGCCATTTGTGCAGTAAAGTGTTGGCAACCCAAAAAAAAACAATTTGACAGCTGAGAGGTTGGGGTTAGTAAAAATGGGGCGTTACACGATAGAACAATCTTGCGTTAATTTTGGGACACTCTTTAGATAAAAAGTGGGACAAGTCAAAAAACACAAGCATTTAATACTCAAAGTTAAATTAATGTTGAGAAACTAATAACAAAAAAAAAAGAGAAACTTGTATCATTTCGTTTGCGATTTTTTTTTCTATTTACAATGGAAATGAATTGCGTAAAAGAAACGATTTTTTTTATGCAACGTTACGGGCACAAAGTGCTTTGATTGCTCACGCTCACTGTATACATATACACACACAGACACACTTTTTTTTCGATCCCGCACAGCCGGAAAATATCTAAATTTGAATCGGACCGAGGGAAAATTAAATTGCGTCTGTTTTTTTGCCACCCCCGGTGTTTCCTTTTTTTTTGTATTCATTTATTTCGCAGCGTTGTATTTTCGTTTGACGCCGAAACATTCCATTCGATTACTTATAGATGATATATTTTTTTATGTTGTTACGTCAGTTACCTTTTGTGATCGACACATATAAAATTAAAATTCCCTGTCCATCCACTGTTACCAAAATAGATAAAAAAAGAAAGGAGAATGGAAAAATCACAAACTATTAAAGCAAAAAGTGAAGTAAAGGGTCAAAAAAAAATAGAATAAATATCGTTTGGCAGCATCAGGAAAGTTTTTGGGTCCTGCCGAAAAGGAAGAAGCTGCGATTATATGTGGGTTATATAAAATATGAAGTTTGGAAGTTTTTTGGGGTAGTGTGACCCCCTTTGACCGAGTCATTATATTCACCTTGCAGCCCTCAACGTGATAAGCCAATGGTTGTCATCTTAAGTGCTGTGAATTAATGAGTCCGAAGCCGCATACGGAATGCGGTATCGCGAGGGCAAGGGACGCCTTCGTTACGGCGTCTTGATGACGTTAAGGCCCTTCGCGCTTTGAATACACAATGTGCAAGGGCTAACTAGCATACACGTACACACTCAAAGGACCACGCAGGATGCCTGCCCTTCCATCCGAGCCTCCCATCCCCCTCCCAAACGACAGGTTAACGTGCGGTTTGATGTTATCTTTATTCCCATCCACTTACTCCCTCCTCCTCCTACTCTTTCCAACTCACCCATTCGCTTTTATTACTGCAATCCTTCTACTTTACTTTATACCGAACTAAATAAGGAGATGGGACTACCGCAAGCGAGCTGCAAATCCGCAGCATTCCCGTTTTATGCCATCTTTATTCCTAGTCCATATAAACTGAAGAGGTCATGAATCTCATACTTTGTTTATGTGACATTCATCTGTTTGTTCAGAAAAACGAAATTATCTCATTCAAACCATAAATAAAGGATGTCCCAGAATTAACTGATATTTATTTTTTTTAATTAAACTCATTTTTATTTGGATACTTGATAATATTTTTTGCTTTATTAGAAAATAGAGACATGGAGGTTATGAGCGATTCAAAACAATTAACAGTACATGTTCAAACTTTTGATGAAATGGTCCTTAACTTGTTGACATAATTGCTATGAAATTTCGTTAATGTTGTGTTAATGTCTTTTGTTTAGAATTGAACTGATTGACTCAAATTTCTTTATTAAATTCACAAAGTGAACAGTTTTCATAAAACGTTCACCATTTTCAAGTGAATTTTTACAATTTCGACGCGTCGTTCGATCCTGTACTTTTCCATATCTTAACCTCAATGTTTACTAATGAGAGTATATACAAATTTCTACTCTGGTTTTAACGCGAAAAAAATGGCGGCAAATTTAAAATATCAGTTCTTTTTGGGACACTCTTTATGTAATACTGAAAACCTTAATTAATTGAAATTTTATTTGTAATTTTCTGCCAGATCCTATTAAATCTGTGTTAAATTCGATTTTTCCTATAATTTTCTTGGTTTTAACGCGATAAAATGGCGGCAAATTTAAAATATCAGTTCTTTTTGGGACATCCTTTATGTAATAATGAAAACCCTATTTAATTGAAATTTTATTTGTAGTTTTATTAAAATCTGTGTTAAATTCGATTTTCCTACAATTTTCCAATTCAGGAAACAACAAAGAAACAAGAAAAGAAAAATGTTATATTAAAAA